GGAGAAGCCTGATCCTCAGAACAAATGCCTCCGCGAGTCTCTCCCGGGGAGCCTGGAAGGAAAGTGACCCGATCTGCAGTCTCCCCTTGAGATTTTGGCTGCCTCGGGCCCCCTCCCTACTCAGGCATAAGGGAGAAGGGCCGTGCCAGCCAGCAGGCTGCTAAGTGGGTGGCCCTGTGCCATCCGTCCTCCCAGAAAGGGCGCTGAGTGCTTAGGGACAGTCCCCCGCCTTCTGATTTCTGCTGGGAGCAAAGAGCGGAAGCTTTTGTAGGGGAGGAGGTCCTGCAACGGCAGCCATAAATGTGGGGAGGGGCCGCAGGCAAATTTCTGGGTGAGATGTGCTGCTTTTTTTTTTCTGATAGTTTTTTTTTCCCAAAATAAAATCTGGTTTTATTGTGATGCTCGGGGACTGCCTGACTATGCTGATGTCTGGGAATGAAACCTACTCAGAGCCTCTGTAGTATCTAGAAGTAGAAACGGGAGGAGGGCTGTGTCGGCCGCCTCCCCTTGGAGCCGAGTCCCCAGAAGTTGAGCTCAGGTGAGGGGAGACCTCAGGAAGTTGGATGGGGGGGCAGGCCTGGTGGCTGGCTGGCTGGCTGGCACGACACCCGAGGAGGCAACCGTCAGCGGAGGAGAGACAGGGGACTGGCAGTCCGTGCCTTCCCTAAAGGCTGCAGACCGTGATCCTGAGGAGGATTTCGGAGCAGATCGTGATGAGTGTGATCCAGAAGCCCCTTGGAAGACGTCTGGCAATTACAAGAAGGCAGTGCGAATCCAAACAAGCCGTGCCTTATTGCTTGGTCAGATACCTTCCTTAATAGGTTGTGGGAATGCTGCATAAAGCCCACAGAGGTGGTGGCAAATGAATACCCCTAAAATATAAATAAGCAGTTTCTCTCGACTTCGAGAAAGCATTTGACAGAATCGCCCGATGTGGTGATTAGCAAGCTAGCTAATAACCGTGGATTAGAGTGGCCCCAGGTGGACATGTAGCTGGCTTGAAAATTGGACATCTGTGCATCTTCATCAAGTTGGAGAGGCCCCCGGCCGCAAGTGCTGGCTGGGGAATTCTGGGAGTTGAAGTCCACACATCTGAAATTTGCCCGGGTTGAGAAACACAGGGGTAGATGAAAGGGTTGGAGGCAGTGTGGATGAAGCTTGCAAGTAAGACAAGATCAGGTGGGACAGCGGAGAAGATAGAAATAGATTCGAAGTCATCGCGATAGGTTGGAGACAGGTTCTCTGCTTAAGAAACAAGCATCGGGTGCGTGGCACGGGACGGGGCTCGTTAGGTGCCAGGCAGCTCCACCCAGAGCACTGTGGCCAGTTCTGGGCATAGCTTAGCTTGGAAGAGAGAACCCCTTGAACCCCCTGTGGGCTGCGATGGAGAGGAAGACGCAGGCTGCCCTAGAGAACAAGCCCAGGGCAGATGGGTTAGCATGGCGGGGGGGCGGTCAGTTGACCATTGCAAGCATTGTCTCAAAATGAGTGTTTGGAAACGGAGCCAAAGGCCTGGGAAGGGGCGGACGTGAGGCCTCCAGGCGGAGCTCTCCGGGCTGCGTGAGCCCCAGCTGGATGCGGTCGGTCTACCCGGGCCTTCAGCGGCTTCCCTGGGGTCTCAGCTTTGGTGCCGCTGCTAACCTGCCCTCTGCTCGCCTGGCAGGAGCCGCGTGGCTCGGATCGGACTGGGGGTGATCCTGAACCTGGCCAAGGAGCGGGAGAGCCCACCTCTGGCTCGGAGCACCTCGGGCATCTTGGAGCACATGTTCAAGCACTCGGAGGAGACCTGCTTCCAATTGATCTCCAACGGGGGCCTGGACGCCATCCTCTACTGGTGCCGCTGGAATGACCCGGTGGTGCTACGCCATTGTGCCACGGCCCTGGCCAACTGCGCCATATATGGCGGGCAGGCCAACCAGCGGCTGATGGTGGAGAAGAAGGCTGCCGAGTGGCTCTTCCCGCTGGCCTTCTCCAAGGAGGATGACCTTGTCCAGTTTCAGGCCTGCCTGGCCATCGCGGTGCTGGCCACCAATAAGGAGATCGAGAAGGAGGTGGACAGCTCGGGCACGCTGGCCCTGGTGGAGCCCTTCATTGCCACCCTCGACCCGGGCCGCTTTGCCCACACCTTGCTGGGCAGCAGCGACAACAGCCAGGGACGGACAGCGGATGACCTGCAGTGCCTGGTGCCTCTTCTGGACAGCTCCCGCCTGGAGGCGCAGTGCATCGCGGCCTTCTACCTCTGTGTGGAGGCCGCCATAAAAGCGAGGCAGAAGAAGACAAAGGTGTGCAGGGCGGGCGGGGGTGGCAGGGTTAGCGCCTCCCATCCGGGGCTGGGGGCAGGAGAAGCCTTCCTGCCGGCCAGGGTGGCACTGCCCCCTTAGGCTGTGCAGGGCCAGGACACAGGTTGAAAGGCCCGATGCCGCAAGAGACAACCCGGCCTCTCAGTCTGGGGCAGAGGAGCCCCTGCTGTGCCGAGAGAGTGGATTGACCTCGGCCCTCTTCCTCCCCCGTCCCCAGCTCCAAAACCCTGGGAGGTGCCCCTGAGTTTCTGGCTCGGAGACGGGAGGCAAAGGGACGCGTCTGGCTTAGCCCAGCCTCAGGACTCTCACCTTAGCAGGGTCTGTCCCAGAGCAGTCCGACTGCAGCCAATTTCTTGTCTTCCCCAATGTGGCGCCCGTCCGTTGTGCCACAGCTGCAGCTGCCATAGTTCCCGCTTGCTTGCGATGGCACGGCTGGCCCTCCAGGACAGAACCCAACCCACCGGGGTGGGCGCCACTTGGGCCACTGCCACGTGCTTTCCTGCAAGGGGTGACCGGGTGCTGCATTGTGTCGCCCAGATTTTTGCGGAGATCGGGGCCATCCAGAGCCTCAAGCGGATCGTCTGCTACTCGGCCAACGGCACCACCTCCACACTCGCCAAGAGAGCGCTTTGCACCATGGGGGAGGATGTGCCCCGGCGGCTCCTGCCGACCGTGCCCAACTGGAAGCCCCTCGAGGTGCAGAAGTGGCTGCAGCAGATCGGCTTTGCGAAGTACTGCCCTCGCTTCCTGGTAGGGGTCCGGGGGGCAGCAGGGCAGCGGGCGGGAAGCCACACCCAAGCGGTGGGGCAAACTCCGAGGACAGGCGGGCGGGGGCTGGGCGCGAGGGCCGTTGGCCAACCACCCCGCGGTGGGCTTCCTGCTCCGGCTGTCATCATCTGGAGGAGGTGACGGGGCCCGGCTGCTCATGGAGCTCTGGGCTGGCGGTGCGGGATACGCAAGTATTGAGACTTTACAGGGGTCTCGTCTTGTTTTTTTGCCTTCGTAACTGATTGTAATAATTGTCCTTTGGTTTCTTTGCCACCTGGACTAGTTACACGGGTGGCCGTAGAGACTTATTGATTAAATAAAGAAGTACGCCGGTGAATAGAAGCGCCGGGCAGCGCAGTCCACAGAATAAAACGACTTTGGACGTCTTGCCTCTGCAGGAGCACCAGGTGGACGGAGACCTGCTGTTAAGGCTGACGGAGGAGGATTTGCTGGCAGACCTGGGCGTGAGCTCCAGCATCACCCGCAAGCGGTGAGAAGGCAGGCTGGGGGCTGCTGGAGGTGGGGGGGCGGAGCACCTGCCCCCCTCCAGTACCTTGGATTTGGATAAATATCCAGGCGTTTAAATCAACGGCACCTATTTCTCGTCCTGGTCCCGCTTCCTTTTGGAGGGCACCTCTTGCCCAGAAGCTCGGCTTAGCTGAAATAAAGGGGAAAGTGCAGCTCTTGGCAACCCTCTGGGCCACAGGAGCTGCAGGCCGCGCAGGAGCTGCACGTGTCTGATGAGAAGCGCAGCCTCCACCTTGCATCGGGCGCATTAAGGGGACCAGCGAGGGAGGTGGCGGTTTCCCAGCTGCCCTGTCCCCGAGTGGCCGGAGGGGAGCTGGCCAGGCCTCAGCCGTAGCGTTCCTGGTTGGGCTTCTCTCGCCTCGGCTGCTGGGAGGCTCCCCCAGCCCTCCCCACCCATCCAGGCAGGGTTGGCTCCAGGGCGGCTGCTCCCGCCTGCTGCCCGTCCATACCGGTGGGCGCCACAGGAAGAATGGCGATGACCTTGGAGGAGCCACCCAAAGCCATTCAGGCCACAAGGGGGGAGCAGAAGCAGGGCTTTGGCCCAGGGAGGCGGGAAGCGTTAGAGAAAGACTCGGACTGGCTCTCCCCGACTCCCTGGGGGAGAAGAGGGAGGGAAGGAAGTCACAGGAAGACTCGCAGGGTTCTCTCCCTGTAGCCTCTCTCGGTGAAGCCGGTTTCCCGATCTGGTCTGCCTCATAGGGCCGGCACCCTTCTCCTGCTCCCACGTAGCCTCGATGAGGCTGACTGGACGCGCCTGCCTGCCCGCCCGCCCCTTGGATCATCCTGGTCCTGCAGGAGCAGAACTGGGCGGATGGCCCCTCCCCACCGGCCTGCTCTCCTCTGACCCTCCCGCTGCTCCCCCAGATTCTTTCGGGAGCTGACAGAACTCAAGACCTACGCCAACTACTCGACCTGTGACCGCAGCAACCTTTCGGACTGGCTGGGCAGCATCGACCCCAAATTCCGCCAGTACACCTATAACCTGGTGACCCGCGGCATCGACCGGAACTTCCTCCACCGCGTCACGGAGCAGCAGCTGGAGGAGGACTGCCGGATCGGCGTGGGCTTCCACCGCGTCCGCATCCTCTCTGCTGCGCGGGGTAAGCGGGGGGAGGCTGCCGTTGGAAGCACCCAAGCTCGGCTTCTGGACTGCAGCTGCAATTACCCATGACTTGGGAATTGCACCCAAGGCTCACCCGGTGGGCCCAAATTCAGGGGGGCTGGCTCGGCCCCTCCCAAGACGTGCACCACTCCAAAGGGTGTTGGGGGGGCAGCCAGCAGCAGCAGAGCAGGGCACGTTGCTCCCCCAACTTCTGGGCCCGGCTGGCTGCTGAGCAGGCCTCTTCCTTTGCCTCCGAGGGGCAGAAGCCCCTATGCCTCTTCCCTGATCCTGGAGTTGGAAGGTGCCTGGGAGCGAGTCCGGCCTGTTGCCCAGAGGAGGAGCCCAGTTCGGACCTCCCACCTCCCAGCGGAGTAATTCGCAGAATATGCTTGACTCGGTTCCTGGGGTGCCCGTGATCTGTCGAACACAAATTTCAGCCGAACGCACCTAATCCTGCTCGGCACTCGTGTGCACGCAGCCGCTGGCTGTCTGGCTGACTCACCGGCAGCCTTTCTGGGCGGGGAGGGGCCCCAAAGGAGCCCAATCCAGCTCTTTGTGCCGCTCTCCTTGCTCCTCCCAGAGATGCTCCACTCTCCCTTGCCGTGCAGCAGCGGGAAACCCACCTCGGAGGGGACGGACGTTTTCATCAGCTACCGGCGGCGCACAGGATCCCAGCTGGCCAGGTGCGTGGGGGCTGCCTGGGGTGGCACCCTACGCCTGCGTGCAGTGCCTCCTGAGAGAGGAGGTCAGCCCCCCCCACCCGCAAGTGTCTCCGGAGGGCAGGGCGAGGCGCTCCCAAGAGGAGCCTCCCTTGCTAGGGCGCGGTTGCACCAGATGCCGGGCACTCAGGCGGCCCTCGGTCGCTTTTTCTTCCGGAAGCATGTGTCCCTTATGAGAATAAGCACAAAGGCAGTCCCCGCCCCCCCGCCAGCCTGTGAAGGGAAAAGGCAATCCCCACAGCCCTCTGCGTGCTTTAAGTCAGCCGTCTTTACCACAACCATAGCTAAAAGCAAGCACGGGCATGTCCATCGAGGGTCCAGAACGTGGGATTGGAACTGCCACGGGAAGAGCAGAGCAAAGGCTGCCCCTAAAATGCCCCCCGCTGTTCCCTCCGGCAGCCTCCTCAAGGTCCACCTCCAGCTCCACGGATTCAGCGTCTTCCTCGATGTGGAGAAACTGGAGGCCGGGAAGTTCGAGGACAAGCTGACCCAGAGCGTGATGAGTGCCCGGAATTTTGTGCTGGTCCTCTCCTTCCAGGCCCTGGATCGCTGCATGGGGGACGTGGCGTGCAAAGACTGGGTCCACAAGGTGAGGGGGAGCGGGAAGCAGCCGGGGGGGCAGGAGAGGGCTGGCACAGTGGCCCCCACAGGGGGAGCGGGGGTCCCGGCTGCTGCCCGGGGAAGGGGGGCGTCCAGGAACTGGCTCAAGAACGCTGCTCTTGCAGGAAATAGCCACTGCCCTGAGCTGCAGGAAAAATGTCATCCCGGTGACCGACCACTTTGAATGGCCTGACCCGGAGGTGCTTCCCGAGGACATGAGAGCCATCCTGAAATTCAACGGGATCAAGTGAGTGGGGGACTGGGGGGGCAAGGCCTTCCACGCCCCACGCTGCAGAACTGGGCACTGAATGGCCATCCTCCGGGTCTGCCCAATGCTTTGAAGAGCCCCCAGAGCTGGGATCACGTATTTATCTATCTAAACAATTCATATGGCCGCCCAGCTCACTCATGGTGACTCCGGGCAGCTTACAGGAATGAAAGTCCCCACTCCACACCCCCCCAAACTCTCAGCCACGAAGAGAAGCGTAAGCCTCGGCAGGTCGTGCAACCGCGTTGCCAGGTTTGCACCTGGTTGAGCGGCTTGGAGGCTGAGGCCACAACGGCCGGGCTGGGTTCCTGCCCCGGGCCTCCCCCCGCCTGCGCTTGTTTCCTGTCCCCCCCCAGGTGGTCCCACGAGTACCAGGAGGCCACCATCGAGAAGCTCATCCGCTTCCTGCAGGGGCGCTCCTCCCAGGACTCCTCCGCCGGTTCAGACAACAGCCTGGAATGCGGACCTCCGCTGGGGCAGAGCTAGGACCGGAAGGGGGGTGGCCTGCCTCCTCCTGCCCCTCCCCACCGGCCGGCCTTGTGATCTCCCCTTCCA